TTGGGATCTTTTTTAATTTCCCTTACTATTTTGTAGAGAACCATAAATCGTAAACAATTTTCAAAGGGCTCGAAGGACAACTTAGGAACGTGCGAGATGATCGGCTGCAACGTGGAGTCGTTTACTGACATCCTGGACGCCTCCATCGGTCATACTGCCGAGTTGGTGGATGTGCAGGCTTCCTGGCATGCGTTGAAGACGCATCACCGCTCCTTCCGGCAGCTGCAAACTTCAGTCTTTGGCGCCATGAAGGGCAGCGCCGCTTTCCACGAGAGCTTTGCCAGCTTTATTTACCTGCCGGGCAAGTCCAAGGGCCAGCGACGGACAGACCCCATGTTCAAGGAGGCCAGCGACGTGCTTTCCCCCTCAACCCTAAACCCTAAACCCTAAACCCTAAACCCAGGCCAGCGACGTGCTTTCCACAGCTCTTGCCCTCAAGCAGAGCAACAACGAGGATGGCAAACCTATCGCCAAGAGCGGCTGGTGGTGCTGGAGCTGGCGAGTCACCGCCACCGGGGGCTATGCCAAGAAGTTTCCGGATAAGACATCCACATGGGGTGTCGCCACTGGCTTCAAGCTGATGTCGGGCTCGACCGTGGACTTGGCAACGCTAATGAGCCAGAATGAGCCGGGCGTCAAGTTCAAGACTTCTGTTGGCCTTACCATCGGGTATGTGCCGGACATGCCGGGGGTTGCAGGAGTCCGTGCCGGTGTTTCCGTGGGGGGAGTTCTCTCGCTGGGACCTGGTAAAATCGAGATCAAGATCACCCTTGGCCTGGGCATGTCTGCAGCGGTGGATGCCAAGTGGACCAACAATATGCTCTGCGGTGGGCCCGAGGTGATTGGCGTCCCTCCCTGGGACTTCAAGTGCCGCGGCAGTGTAGCGGCTGCGTTTACTTTGTTCTGCAAGAAGCTGAACTTCTTGGATGGCAGCAACGGTGCTACAATGGATGATCCCTGCTCCACTTGGAACAAATATTACGAGCAGAACAACGGAGATTCAGACATGCCCGGCCAAAAGAGGTCATCGGAGGAGAATGCAGCCGCGTGCAGAGAGCGCTGCAACAGCGTACGCCACTGCCAGCACTACTCCTTCTGGAAGGTGGGATCTTGGTCACCAAACCCTAAACCCTGGATCCTAAACCATAAGCACTACTTGTGGTTATAAGTATAGGGCAAGTATAGTTATAACCCATATTGAGGGACTTATAGCCCTACTTACAAATACCCATGAACCTCCAAGTACACCCTAAACCCTAAACCTGGAAGGACGGGGGCTGCCACCTCCAAGACTGGGACTCGCAGAGGAAATGGAAGAAGGACTCCGGCATCATGACAGGACCTCCTGTTTGCTGCGCCAGCCCCTCCACCTCAATCGTCAGCGACATGTCGGGGCAGGGAAGGACGGCCGAAGCAGAGTACATGGGCTGCTGGAATCGTTGCAAATCCGTGACTAGGTTCCCAGAACAGTACCCTTTGCCCTTTTTCTTTTGGGATCTTTTGGGTTTCCTGATGACTGCCAAATAGCTAGTAGGAAAAAGGATCTCCTTCCCTAAGCCCTAAACCGCCGGTACCCTCATTGAGGGGATACTGCGGAACAAAACCCTAAACCCTAAACCCTAAACCCTAAACCCTAAACCCTAAACCCTAAACCCTAACTAGGTGAAAGGCTGCCGGTATTTCACCTACTATGGGAAGGACGGCGGCTGTCATCTCGGAGACCCTCAGGAGCTGAGTGAGTACACTTTTTACACCTTTCAGGGCTTAGGCTTTAGGGTTTTAGGGCTTATAGCTGAGTGAGTACATTTTACACGTTTTGGGAGAGCATTATCCCCTATAGCACTGAAAGTGTAGACTTTTGTGGACTTTTTGAATTGAGAAATTAAGGACCGGAACGTGGGCATCGACCACAACAGCGGCCAGGGCGGCAGAATCGTCACTTCCGACGCATCTTTGTCACAGTCGGGTAGCATTTTACAGTTTTTGGTGCTTGAACTCAATAACTTAGATCGCCAATGGGAGAACTTTAAACTTTTTGTCCCTATATATTAGATCTATCTTAAAAAGTTTGAACCTTTTTTGGCCTGGTTCTTGAAGAAGAGAGATAAGGAATATGTTTGAGGGTTCAGGGTTTAGGGAACAGAAATCGAAATACAAGGTTTAACTACTATATATCCCGACCATGAACTAGGCATATTGCATGGACGACACCTTGAAGCAGCACAACGTGGTCGGTTTGTTCAACAAGGAGCACAAACGGTTCATCCGTGTGACCGGCGACCAGAACGTCGATGCCAGCGGTGTCCGTGACGATGGGACGCTTCCGGAAGGTTGGAACTGGGAGAAGTTCACCGTTGTGGAGACCAATTGGGGACAGGTCGGCTTCTACAGTACCCATGTGAAGCGGTTCTTGATGATGAAGGACGACGGTTCCATGGGAGTCAGCGAGGAGAGGGAGGTCGACCAGCTCTGGGACGGAGACACGTGGATGATGTTCCGACCAGTGGAGGCTGGCGATGGATACTTCGCTTTCCACAACGAAGCGCACAACCGCTACATTCGGATGAAGTCCCAGAGTGTGGTTAAGGCAAGCAACACAAAGGGTCGTGACGACCTTCCCGACTCGTGGAGTCAGGAGCGCTACAAAATTGTGGATGTCTGAGGTTTACAAACAAAGTGTGATTTTCCAGGGTTGCCTCACCGCCAATGCTTGGAGGATCGTGAGACGTGATGAGTAAACCTGTCAGTACCTTGATTGTAACCATAAGTACATATAAGTATAGCAATCTTGTTCACAGGTCTAGTTAAATCAGCTGCTAAGTGCCATGATCCTTTGAGTACATCTTCATGGGAGACCCCTGACGTTAGCTAGTTCTGATGGCGCTTTGCGCCCACACGTCTGTCCTTTGGAGGGCACGGTGCGACGATGTGCCGGTTCTGATGCAAGGGAATGTCTCTGTGATCACATTTCCGGACCAGGATAAACCCGTGACCTGGAGGAGAAAAAGGTTTGCTGCTTTACTGGAGTCGTTGCTGGCCCGGATTTCTGCACTGCGAGCAGGCTGGCAGCCTGCTGCATCCTGCTTTGTTTGTATCTGTCCAAAACCCTGTTCTAATTATCAAGGCCCCTACACCCTCAACCCCAAAGCCCAACTCAAATTCTTGACATGTGATGGCAGCAAGTCTCAGCTTCGAGCCAGTTTGTCAGCTACGCAGCCCCTGTGCAGTCCCACCGCCCACCCTTAACTTTTCTTCTCCACCAGGGTTCGAACCTCCGATTTCCTGGTGCTCGTCCCAGAACCCTAAACCCTAAACCCTTACTGTACAAGGCTTTCATTCTACCGGCATCTAGTCTCCCCCGAGTTGCTAAGCAAAGCTCAGCTGGCATTGAAGTTGTTCGGGCAGGGCGTTACTCCATGACAGCGTAGACTGTTCCTATAGATCTGTGAAAAATCATTGACTTTACTAGAATGTACGATGATTTACTATAGTAGACTGTAATATATGGCCGCTGAGTATCGCAACTTCCGCCAAGGCGTAGTGTAGGGTTCAGGGTCTAGGGTTTAGGGTTTACTGTTTAGGGTTTAGGGTGTAGCGGTCTGTGATTCGTACTCCTTGCGCTTGAGTCCTTCTCGCAACTTGTGCAGGCTTTCTTGAAGGTGTGGGACCCAAAACCCAAAACCCTAAGCCCAAAACCCAAAACCCTAAACCCCAAACCCTAACCCCCCCCAAACCCTAAACCCCAAAGCCCCTAAACCCCAAACCCTAAACCCCAAACCCGAAACCCTAAACCCTAAACCCCAAACCCTAAACATCAAACCCCAAACCCTAAACCCCAAACCCCAAAGCCCCTAAACCCCAAACCCTAAACCCCAAACCCTAAACCCTAAACCCCAAAGCCCCTGAACCCCAAAGCCCCTAAACCCTAAACCCCAAAGCCTCTGAATCCCAAAGCCCCTAAACCCCAAACCCTAAACCCTAAGCCCCAAACCCTAAACCCTAAACCCCAAACCCCAAACCCCAAAGCCCCTAAACCCCAAACCCTAAACCCTAAACCACAAAGCCCCTAAACCCCACAAGGCCTTCTGTGGCCTTGCTGTCTTGAACCCGGGCTGCCCTGAAGGAGCGCTGGGTCCCCGGCAGAGTTAGAGCTAGGCCCCTTTTCGGAGCACGGTTTCGGGGTTTAGGGTTTAGGGTTTGGGGTTTCAGGGGTTTTAGGGGTTTTAGGGGTTTTTAGGTTTAGGGTTCAGGTTTAGGATTGCCTTTGAAAGGCCAAAAGGTTGCAGTTGCAACGATTGTGAGGGTTCCAAGGCCTGTCTATTTCTGTCGGTTGTGTGGGGTGGGCTCGGGAGTCAGCCCGACGAGCTTGGGGTGCCCGGGATACGGTTGATGATATTAATATAAATCCTCTAAACCCCCAAACCCTTAATATAGGACCCTAAACCCTAAACCCTAAACCCTAAACCCTAAACCCTAAACCCCCAAACCCTTAATAGAGGGGCCTCAATAATAACCTATATCAGTTTTGGGGTTCCTAGTTATAGTTATGGTATAATATACCCAAAACGCTATTCTCATTACCCGTAGTTTAAACGCTTCGCGTCGTCCGCCTCGGCCCGGCCGCAAACAAAGAGGGCCAACGCGCTGCCGGTGCCTTGAAGGCGCCGTTGGCGGAGTGGACGAGGACCCGGGAAGGGGAGGAGAGCGTACAAAGGAAAAGCAGGGCGAATGGGAGGGAACAGGGGGGGAGGGGGGGGGGGGTGCCGGGGGAGGGGGGGGGCAGACCTCCCAAACATCTTATTGGCCCTAAAGCTGCCTTGCACTTGCTCCCAAGTCGGCCTGGCCAAGTACTGGTCGTTGCAATCAGCTGACCCCAAAACATCTCGGATGAGAAAGTGTCAAGCCCGCCTGTCTGGTCCGTGGCACAAGAGCTTGCTGGTTTAGGGTTTAGGGTTTAGGGTTTAGGGTTTAGGGTTTAGGGTTCAGGGTTCAGGGTTTAGCTGGCAAGCTCGTTAATGAAAACCCGCAGCTCTGGGTTTGCTGCGCGGTGCTTGCGCAAGCTC